AGAAAAAGAGCAGACACCTGACTCTCTGGGACTGTACTGCACATGGCAGCCGGTCTTGGGCTCCTGGGACATGCTGCACAGTCCTGTGGCAGTACAGCTCTGGGACTGTGCTACACAGCTGCATGGTAGTGGCAGTTCTGAGGCTGTGCTGCCCTGCCTGGTGGCAGCAGCAACTCCAGCTCCTGAGTCGTGCAGAACAGCCCTTTATCAGCTCTGGCTTCAAGGCTGTGTCAATAACCCCACAGTGGCAGCAGCTCCAGGACTGTGCTGCATAGCCTTGGAGTGGCTGGAATAGAACTGTGCAGCTTACAGTGCCCACTCCAGGGCTGGAATGCAAGACCAGTCTGTGAGTCCCATCTGGCTCAGGACCAGCCCTGTACAACTTATCCAGCTGTGGGGCCAGTGGAGTTTGACACCGTTTTAAATGAAACATTCAATTTAATTCAATCTCTTCAATACCTCATACCTTTTTATTTAAAAAAATATAAGAGCTGTTTGAAAGTTTAAGACCTACATGTGATGCACGGTTAGGACTCACAAACTGAGGCATATAACCTACTAATGGGCCCAGATTCTGATTTCCAAAAGCCATTTGATACATATTTCAACCTTTTTTTTAACAAAGAGGCCAATGGAATGGTTATACAGTTGTTAAGCACCATGCAGTAGTTTTTCCTTGCCACCTGAGCAAGAGATGTTCCAGGAATGCTTTGTCTATATGTAACTGGATTTGGTACAATATTAACCAGGAGTGTAGAAATCATGTTATTTTCAAAATACACTTAAGATATATTGTCTGCTAAACTACCTGTATCACACTTCTCTAAAGGTGCCTTTAGTACTGAACTTTTAAAATGTGGCAAAATGTACATTTGAGACTTCAATTCCAGAACAGTAGTAACCATCATCCATAATAATTACTCCAGCATTTATTAGTATCTGGTGAAATAGATTGTTACATACAAAAGCTTATACCCCTCCAAAACAGTTAGTCTCTAAAGTGCTGGCCTACCCTGCCTTTCACCATGGCATAATTATTCTGAAGAATTCTGAAATAAAGTGCCTTTTTTTCTGGAATGCAACATCCACACAAGTTGCTGCTCTGGAATAGCTTACTCTGCAATAACTATTCTAGTCTGTTTCCTCCTGTAGATAAGGTCTTACAGGCATCAGCTCAAGAAGAGAGAGATTTTTTTTGCAAATTACTGCCAACAAATGACTATTAAATGCCCCTCCTGTATAAAGGATTTGACTGGTGTGTCTACAAAGGATGACTTATCTGCTCCAATAGCTAGATTTCAGGATTATTCTCCAAAAGGGCCCTTTGATGACTCACAAGCTTTTAGACCATTCAGGTAAGAGATAACTTAATTACACAGGAAAATGCACAATTACAGGATGGTAGCCATAGTGTATACTGACAAAAGATAGAATAAAATACATAACAAAATAATCTTGCAGGATTAAAAGCTTAAATTGTAGAATTTATTTCCATGTATTTAAATATACACAAGATAGGACAACTTAGATCAGTGGTCTGACTACCAGAGGCTGGGCCCTGGATGGCAGCGGTAGCAGCTGGTCCAGCAGCAACAGCTGCTGCCGTTTGGATGCCCCCTCTTAAGTGGCCATTTGGGGCACACGTATGTCTTTGGCAGCAGCAGCAGCTGCAGTTTGTGCACTGTCTCCAAGTGGGCATCTGGGGCCGGGCCGCAGATGCCTACCCCTCATTACAGTACTGACTTCTATAATCACATACTATTGTCCAATGAATACCAAAACCAGTACAACTTAACATTTTTTTATGCTAATGTTAGAATTCTCAAGAGTGTGGATATTCTATTCCAGAATAAAGCACACTTTATTTCATAATAATTATACCAGATGATAGGGGTGAGAGTCTATAGTCTTTTGAGGTGTGAGTCTTACAAAGAACAATGAAAATTATATCCAAAAAAAATGGAAAAATTTTGCCTTGAGGACAAAAAGTTTCACTTCTAATGAAACTGAAAATCTTAGGGGCTGTCTGTTCCTTAAATAAATTGAAATGTAAAAAATAAAACCTCTCTTCACTGTGCAGTGAACAAACAAGATTATCTTAAAAGTGAAAGAAAGATTAGAAAAACTGAATGTGTTGGTATATCAGTTACATGACCAAAAGAGCTCAGCCACAAAAGAGCTGCCCACTTTGGGTATTTCCACTTAAAAGCTTGGTAGGCTCCAAGCACATTAACACTATTCAAAATTATTTCAACATTGTCAGAAAAGATGACAAAAGAAGCTTCAGTACAAATAAATATTCTTTTCTTTTGAGGAGACTCATCTCACTGTAAATTAATTTGAAAGGTCAAGGGAGTTTTTACGCTGATTCGCCTCCTATGTACTAGACGTAGTTTAAATAGGTTTTCTGAGGCAAGCTTTCATAAACTAAAAAAAGCTTGAATTCTAACATCCTGTACTTCTGTTAGCAAGATTTCTGAGAAAAATGTAAAAGACGTTGAGCTCTTGTCATGTGATCAGTAATTTCAAAGTAAGAATTTCTCTGATTATTGGGATAGGTACTAGAATTTATTCACTGGTAGATATTCAGTAGGGTTAGTCTTAAATGCTTTACATAGTTTTGCTGGAATATGCTGCTTTAGTGCTGGTAATGGGTCATTTCAGTTCATGGCTACCTATGATACCATTTCCTATATGGAATGTAAGTTAGTCATTATAAATAGATAAGAGAGTAAAAGGGTTGAGCGATATCCAGACAGTGAGCAAGACAGGGAATGCTTCTCCTCTTTGCTCAGAGTTCATGATTTTAACATGCAGAGTATGCCTATTTCACAGTCCCTTAAGATCTTTAGATTAATTAGAAGTGATTCAAAAAAAGCCTGGCTGGAAATAGACATCATATTTGACATGGTCCTGATTGTCATGAGGTTTGACTTGAATCAAAACAGGAGAAACAGTCATTTACACACATCATCCTTCCAAGTTGCATTGCTGCTCCTCCATCAGTAGTTGCTGGGAAGAGCACACGTCTTGACCAGTTTGTCCTGGGAATGACCCAAGATCACCTTACAGATGCATACCACAATACTCCAGGACAAAGTTATTTTATCCTGCATGCTTTAGCAGGACTTGAAGCAGGATGATGGATTGTACATCTGTAAAGTCATAGGACAAAACACTTTCTCCCAGGACAAATGCAACATGTACTTACAGCCATAGTTTTGGTGAAAAATATAAGGAAATCATTTATTCTTTTGGATTTGAAGGACCTTTACCAAAGACAGATCAGTCAGTATTTTAGAAAAAGAAAATCTGGTCTTAGAGGCACATGGAATTTTATTTCATCTTTTATCATGTCCTGTGGTGATCACTCTGCCTCAGGTCTTAAATATCCTTTATCTTACCCATTCACTCTTGCATCCTTCCTTGTCTATTGGCTACATCCAGGAACTTCATATATGAAAGAATTGGTGAATCTGATCAAGAGCATATACTCATTCCAGACAACTTGTTCAGAAATCTTTTCCATTGTTCTGGCCATCCAGGAAGCAAAACAAGATGCAGTAGATATGGTTTAATTAGCCACAACATTGTCTACTCAGTCGGAAAAATGCCAAACAATAAATCGTAGTGCAAGTAATCATTCTTTCCTTAATCATTTCGGCATATACGAGATGAATGAGCCTTCCAGCCAGGCTCAAACCCTTGCTGTGATTCCACCACTCTCTTCTGATAGGGCTATAGGGGTGCTAATTGTACACACATAAGGGCTAGGAGGATACAGGTGAAAATAGAGGTCATGTTCATTCTGCATCACATGATAGAAGCCCCAGCCTCCTTTTTCTCAGATTCCTTGAGAGCCTTTTCTTAAGACAATTTCCAGCTTCAGTTTATTATGGAACTAGGCTCCAATGAAAAATTTTATTATGGCCCCTTCACACCTTCTAAATTTAACCTAATCTTACCCACCCAGCTGAATCTCCAAGAAGGCAGCAAAGAAACTAAACTCGCCTCTGCCAGTCTGGGAGTGAGGGAAATATTCCTTCTCAGCTCCAAATAAAAGGCAGCAACATGTGCAGCATCCCTAGCATATCATAAACCCAACTATGCTTTAGACGACATGCCTGAGAGTACGTGAGCTGCTGAATAGCAGAGAGAGAGGTTATGACTTAAAGAGCAGAGTTTAAATTCTGTCTCCCAAACCAGAGCCCAAATATGACCTGCCTCTGCACCTCCTAACCATTAGATATCCCTTAGCCCCTACATAGCCAGAAGGGAAGGGGCAGTAAGATTCCATAACTCATTTTTTACTTGCTGGATAGACAAAACCTCTTCACATATAGAGTAGAGGGAGCACATTATCCCATAACTTTAAGAAAAAATGTATTCTGTTTATTTGTAAGTAAATCACACTGTACAATACACTGATGAGACAATGGGAAATAGATACAATATACAAAGATGCAAGATAAAAGGAAACACACTCCCCTAGTAAATATAACTTGCTCATAGCAGAAAATTAACTCAGTCTCAGTGCTTGTCGTTCTAACATCTCCAAAATTCATGTTCCGGTGAGAAATTTGCATTTGTCTGATATTGTCATCTTACTTTCCAAAGTTATGTTTAAAATATGTATAAAAATATGAACAATAAGGGGATATGCTTGTTAGAACTTCTCACATCTAACATTTATAGCCTTGCATTTATTTATATAAATATATACATTTATTTATATAAGCACACATCTTTATACCCTTAATATTTAAAGTGATGAAATACAGATTGCTGCACACACACGCAGTAGTTAATGTCCATTCAGTGTTTTGGGAATCATCAATTGCTTGTTCTTGTTCAGTGTGGGAGTCATGTACTGTTCAAGTGCATCAAAGACGAGTCCAGTAGCAGCTGTTTGTGGTTTATGTCTTTGTCCATACACTTGTCTGTTTAGAACAGTATCACAGATGAAAATAACAAATCCTAATTTTTCCTGATGCATGCAGATCCTCCAAAGTTTGATAGGATATGGCCGAATATTTCTTCCCTTGAGGTTTCTAAACCAAATCAAGGTAGGATTCTGTAAAATTCCTACTGATCTAAAATGACTTAAATTGCTTTCATAAAACCCCACTTGTGAATGACAATAACAATACTAATTCATCTAGTTTTTCTCTTGGTACTAAGAGATGTTATTCTGTCAGAAACAATTTGTGGAGAGTTATCATAAAACAAATCCTTTCATGGAAAAGGTTTCCTTGTGCACTGGAAACCCTGTGGCAAAAAAAAAAATGGAAAAGCAAGCACCAAAGTTGTAAGCACTCTTCTAGATGAAATTGAATGCATCTTCCCAGAGAAACCCAAAATTGTACAGACATCACAGTTTGCATGATGAGTAAGTGTCAAGATCTTGGAGTGCCAGAGATTTCCATTGTCTACATCAAATCCATTTCTTCATGTTTCTCTTCCACTTTGTTTTCTTAAGTGAAATGAATGTTATTTTAGCTTATAGTCAGAACTCAGCTGAATAGAGCAAGACAGTTCTGTGGGGTTTGCAGAAGCATAGTTTCCTGGAATTCCTTTTAACAATTGCATATACTGTATTTTTCAGAATCTGCTTTTCTCCATTTTTAGCATGTCAGGTCACAGAAGAGCTGTTTCTAGTAGTATTCTTTGTGCTTTATAAGTTACATTTCCTCTAATAGTCACAGCAATCTCTCTGGAATCTCTAGTGCAATTTTCTACATCTAAATTCCAGGGGCACAAAAAATGATTATTGACAGACAGTGGCATGATGATTACTGCAGAAAGGGATAGAGAGATTTTCCAGGATGCGTAATAAAACATAAATTAAAATGCAGTGTAATTTGTGTTCATACTAGTTTCTATTCTACAAATAGCAATGAATCAGATATAAAACCCTTCATTATTTAACATGAAATTTCCTTGACTTGCACCCTTTCCCTGTCGTCCCATCCCTCCTCGTCACTCCCCCCCCACCCCCCAAAAATATTGCAAAACTTTGGCCTAAAGCTTGCTATGTTTTTATACACAAGATGTTCTTTTTCAGCTCTAATGAATACAGATGGAGGAGGAAATGAGCAAAAAGGGGGATCCAGGAAATAGCTGCTAAGCTAAATAAATGTATTAGCAATTTTTTCTGAAGTTAGATTGGAAGGACTGCAGTATTACTCTGGAATCATACTGATGAAATTGAGACTATTCCAGATGTTTATGTTACTAACAGAATCATCATAATCAACTATGTCATGTTATATTTCCTAGGCATCTCCATCTGCTCCTTGTGACCTGCTTTCTATAAGGGTTAACAGTATATTTTAGTTTACATTAATTACATACTTTATAAATTAAACATTTTCAATGGATTTCATACTTTCACAAAGTATACTAAAAGGGATCTAAAACTTAACATCACTTCACAATGCAAGATTGTGAAGATTGTAAGATTATGCATTGTTCCATCCAAAAACACATTATTAATTTAGCTTTTACCTTTTATGAGAGAACACGAAGCACACAATACTTCAAAGATTTTGTGTTTGAGATAACATATTGGCAGCATATTGTAATGGAATTTAATATTTATCAGAACTAAAATACTGGAGTCATGTATTTAAAGTATAGCATTAAAGGACCCTTATTACAGCACTAAGCCTTTTTTTGAATATTATTTTATCAGTGTAGTTTTCTTTTTGGCCAAGTTAGGACAGAACACATGAACATAAATTTGATAAGGCCACCATTGTTCTTTCTATATAGTGAGCAATCATGGGTTTAGGAGGTAACATCTAACCCAGAGCCAATTAAGAACAAAGAAAAGAGTTATAAGACACTTTCTCCATTCTGTCTTTAAGACATTTCACATTATCATCTCTGATATCTAAACCATTGACAGTGTTTCACCCATTTTCATCTCAGTACCAGCTTTTACTTTCAGAATAAGCCTGTTAAGCTAATTAAAATTTAGTGATTTGTGTTTCCTTTTTAAGCTTTTGATTTGTTCTTGTGTGATACCTTTCTAATTTACTGTTCATTTTTTTAAACCTATCCAGTTGCTCCCAAATTAGCTTTGTCAACTGTTTCTTCTGTTCAAGTTGCAAACCACAAGAGAGGTAGGAATTCTTGGATTCATACAGTGATCTCATAGTGTTATGTGTTGTGAAAACATTGCACTGTATGAATCTAGAATATCTGTGAAGTGTACCTATCAGCTTATTGCTGAGACATGTTTGTTGACAAAAATAGAAGCTTTCAGTATCACAGAGAACATACAGCCATAGATAGCAAAGAGCAGAAAAAATATACTTCCTATTCCGCTTATATATAACATAGTGAAGTATTGTTTTTAAGGAATTAAATGTGACTACGTATATGCCAGCTCATGTTGTTGTTTAGAAAACTAGTATGTTTTATTTTTGTCACTAATTTACATAGACTATAAATGAGGATACATAAACCAACTAGCTGAGGGCAGGCAATATGTAAAGGTTCATTTGTCCGTATCCTAAGTCTTCTATCTGTTCCACTGTAAGTATGTCATACATCTTTATTTTGCTTTAATGCTGAATACATTTCATTTATAGGCATGCATTGTATTACACTTGACCTGATATTTCAATGTTTTTATAAAAAGAGTGGAATTATATTGGCATATTGAAAGGTTATCATTATTGCCTTAATGACTTACCGACAAGCTTTGGCAGCTACATGTCATTCACAGTCTGATGTCTGTTAGAAAAAAAATTCCCATTTGTCGTTCCCTCATCTGTTTATCTCTATAGAGTATATATAAAAGATGTTTAGTTTTCCATGCTTCTTGTTGTCACTACTTCATTATTCATGAAATTGAAGTTGATAAGGTATAGATTTATTAACAAAAAATTGAACTTAGTTTGACCTGTTCAATAAAAATGATGATAATGAGCCATACTGTTTGTTATGAAACAAGTTATTGCTAAGGTTACACTGAAAATCTAATTTGTTTGTCTTTCGCTTGTATAGGTGAGGACAAGGGAAGGAGATTAGTTAGGAAATGAAAAAAAACACAAAACAAAACTAATCATTTTAGGTCTCTTTTAAATCCTGTTCCTTGAAATAATTTTATAGTTTTTAATTAAAATCTGGAACCAAGACGTGTCTCAAGCATCACCCAATGAATGTCTTTGTTTCAAATTTTTGGTTCTCTTTCCTATACTTTTATAATTGTTTCATGTAACAGTTTCACTGGTCATGTATCAAAGTCTGAGCAGGACCTGTCATTTAAAAAATGTGAATGCACACAGGCATTTCCTCATAGTAAAGTGGAAGAAATATGAGAATAAAATGATCAATGTTTGGCATTATTTTTGTCTCCTTTAAAATGCAATTATAACCTTGAGTTTTGCAATTTTGGATGGATTATCTCCATCAAATGGTTTCATTGGAAAACAAATCTAATGGTTCATAAAGCCTGACCCTCTGCATCTTGGCAAGGGATTTGACAATTCCTGAATCATTCAGAGAGATGGTTATCAAATCTAGCCTTGGGTATCTTTGCTGTCCTTTTCTCAACATTAAACATACCCAGCTATCTTAACCTTTCCTCTGAGCTTTAATTTTCCAAACCATTTACCATTTATTGTTACTCAGCTTTAATCTGTCTTCAATTTGTTCATGTCTTTTCTGATATGTGGTACTCAAACCTGAAAGCATTGTTTGCCAACCTTGTAAATTGTTGCCTTTTGTTGTTCTTGTTAGACTATTAGTACCCTAGCTTTTGCCACCTTTTTTCCTCTGTATCAGTGGTTGTAGGGCTTTGCCTTTGATGGAAAGTTTGGTTTGACCGGCAGACAAACATGTGTATAGGAAGTTAAAATTGTGTTTCAGCCAATTTTGATAAGGAGGTCATTATGTCATCTTCTGGCCTTTCTGTGTGCTGGTTAGGGTAATTCACAAGTTCTTAAGCTGGGTAGGAGAGTAAACAGTTAACAGTGGTGTCATGTATTAACTTCCCAGGTGGCATGATATAGGATACAGTTCTGTATAACGTGCTATACTGATCTGTGGTAACAATTTCTATGAGCTGCAGGAGGCTCCTTTACACTGCCATTGCAAAAAGAGTGATATAAAAGGGACTTTACAGGCCAAAGCAGCATCTTCATTATTTTAATTACCTTATTGACCAATAAAATAAAAACTGTTGTATGTCAACAATGTTTAGTCATTTTAACTTTCCACTACAGCTAATCCTTGATCAGTTAAACTGTTTCTGAGATTACCTGTTGTACTTCCATCTCATGTAACACTTTATTAATGTAATGACCAATGTGCACAAATCTTCACCTAAATCTTAACATAGCTGTCCTAACATAAATATTTCATATGCAGTAAAAAGTGATCTCACTGTAACAAAGTGGTGAAGTCCACATGAATGTGACCAAGTTCAAAAGATATGTGTGTTAGTTTTCTTTGTCATTAATGCAACAAATACAAACGTATAGTTGTCTACTACTATAACTAGCTCGTATATACATCTGTGTATGTGTCAGACTGAGTCTCTGATAACTACAGGAGGTGTTTCCTTCGCCTAAACTGTACCTTGTAGCAAGTTACTGTTACAGGAATGTAATCAGTTAATATCAGCTTTATTTATCCTGCTTTGAAAGGCTTTATTATCTTTCAGCTTTACCACAACATGTTATAACTATAATTTTAACATTTTCTCAGTAATACTTTTGGAAGGTCATATCACAATCATTTTCTTGATTCCTCCTTGCTATCTTAGAAGTAATATCATCAGCTATATTATCACCTCTTTATGAAGAAAGCCCTTGTATTGATATCCTGATCATTTGATGGGATGCAGCCACCATAGATGGCCAAAACTGTTGATTGGGAGTCCACTAAATTTGGTGCCTCATCTCAGAAACCAATTGGGCAACTGTAGCAGAAGGTACAGCCTCTGTCAGACCAGAGAGAAAGAGGTACAAAGGCTCATGTAATGACTCACTCTCACATGCAAATATGACGACTCATCCTCACATGTCTGGTCTGATTGGCTATTATATCCTTGCTTCTAATAGGTCCACACCACTCAGAGTAGCTTAGCTATTTAAAGGTATTACAGAGGAGCAGCTGCACTGTCTCCCTAGAATATGGGTACCTCCATTTGCCTCTGTCTCCAGCACTTCCTATCCTAGTTATCTGTCCTTGTTACTAGTTGCTCTGTTTCCTATCTCCTTTCTGCTCCTCACTCCCTGCCCTTCTGGCTCCATCTGCCCAGCTGATTGAACTACCTTTGCCCCTGATGAATCACCCCTGAACTTGGGTCTCTGATACTAAAAAGTCATGAAAAAAGTCAAGGACAAGGTGATCAGACATCATAAACCTAGACAACATTCATCCTTGGGTTATGAAACCCCCCAACTTCTTGAGTTGACAATTTTCAGTATCCCCTTTGTTTGTCAGTCTTTCCATTGACTTGCTGATAATTTCCGCATTTAGGCCCATATCTCACATGTGTTTCTAATTCTAATGATGGGAATTAGCAATTTGGCAGTTTAGCATGCTGTTTAAACTCATTGACCAGATGAACCAGGATAAATATATGCATGATATTTTTAGCCATTTATTGGTATTGCAAGTATAGCATATACATGCTAAGATCTGCCAAGATATGGTTACTTCCTGAGGAGTTAACGTCAATTAAAACTGAGTTAGTGACATCAATAAAAATAATTTACCTCTTGCAGATGCATTCCAATTAATTATTGCTCTTTTTACAGTTTGGCATTTTTCTATATAATTACAGAGTAGAACTGAGTTTTTTTAATTTAAAATTACAAGTAAGGTTCCACCACTGGGAACATTATTAATAGTAGTGCTTTGAGTCTACCACTACAACACCATATTGTCATTGTGTTAAGCAGCATACACACATCAGCCTACATTCTTGGTGGAAGATACAAGCCTCTTTATTAGCATGCTGAAATGAATTGGAAAAGATTGCTCCAGCTGTATATTTAGTTATAACACTGTAGAGGACAGGCATGGGTATATGTAAATGTTATTTAACATTTATTTTCTGCTATCAGCAAAAACCATATCTCACAGTTGAGACCTCTTTTTCACTTAAGCACTGTTTAACTAAATAAAAGATGGTCCCTGTGCCACAGAGCTTTCAGTCGAAATAGATACTGCATATAGGCAAAATTTGTATGTTGAATAGTGCTACTCATATAATACAACAGGATGCATATTCATAAGCCCTGACTCTGCAAATTGCTGTGTTCCCCTGAAGCCCTGTTATTTTTAGAGGGGATCCACGCAGTCTTAGCAGTACTCTGATTTCCTAGGATTTGCAGGATTGGGGCCTTTGTCTCTCTTTCTCTCCCTTTTCCTATAGTGCTTACATGGCCTTAGGTAATAATAGGTTAACTTAAGAATGTAGGCTTGGGTCACGGAGTGCCCTGCAATTGCAGGCCCCATATCCTATAGTTCTAATTAGAACCATCATTCTAATTTCCAGACTAAATTTACCTATTTGTTCTTGTGCCATTATATTCTTTACCTTAAAAAGGCTTTTCCCTCACTTGTGTTTACTTCCTGATGTATTACTAGAAAACAACAACGTATTACTCCTCTGCCTAAATTTTTTAGAGTATACAAGCCAAAGTCTTTTGAGAGCCTATCATATGATTGGTCCTTCTTTTCCTTGATCATCCTAGTAGTTGTTCTCTGCACCTGTTCCAGTTTGAATTAGCCTTTCATGAACACAGATGACTGGAATTTTGTTCCAAGGGAGATATCCCCAAGAGTCTTGTACAATACCATGAACCTCCCTTACCTCCCTTATTCCTCATCTTTTTGTTCTCAAGCCATAACTTGGTTTCGTAAATAAAATTTTTAAGTGATTGTTATATTTAATTTTTCCTCTAAAATCAGAATTGGTATAATACACAAAACTTTAGATGAATAAAGTAGAAAGTCTTCCTATTCTATACGAATATCAGAATTTACAGGATTGTTTCCTGGTCCTGAAAGCTTTGTCATTGGTATAAAGATGACATAAGTATGTCTTGAAATTATCATTTAAATGATGTTTAAATAGAGCTCATCCATGTTCCTTTCCTTT